GAATTGGGAAAAATTTATTATACATCAAAGTACAACTATAATATATGGACTTATTTCAGTAAGAATCCATAGTTGTAATGATTGTAAAAGTGATGTATTAATATGAAGACTATTTTTTCCATTTTAGAAATAAATTGTCTCTTATAATATGATAATAAGGTGATCCAAATGATTAAACAAATGACTCAGCTTTGGAGACTATTTGATCTCAGGACAAAATTTTATTCTTGGAATTTGGATGGATATTTCATTTTAATTACATCCGTATGCAATTTAATGTAATTAATAATTTGAAATTTTGAATTTCAGAATTATTAAGAAGACAACCGGTCAAGTGGAGAGAGTCATTGATGAAACAGAAAAGTTATGGCTATACTAATTGGTATCATAACTGCTACTCGGACCAGCCTGTGCATGTACATCCAAAACCCATTTCTTTTCTCTATACTACAACATATGTATATATTATGAGTGCCTGATTTCCAAAAAGGAGTAGAGATAACCCACTAAATTCTCCATCCATTTTTTTCTTGCCCAACGTACAAAGAAAACCACCTTATACTTTTTTCCTCTTAGTGCGAAGACAACTTACTGTCTGAACTCTTCTTGTCTTCACGGAATATAATTCTCTTGTGTCCGAGAGCATAGAATTCATAGTTCTTTCATTGAGTCATTCTTACTTTCAAAGGCAAAACGGGCAACGGTCGAAGGTTTCGGTCAAGAGGTAGCTACAAGTCTGAAACGGAGTAAGATTATCCTGGGAGCGAGCTAGCCAGATCCGTTCGAATATCTATCGGGATACGGGGCTATCTTTCTTCAAGACCAGTCCGTTTTAACAGGCGATCCTGCAATAAGTTTTCTTATTCTATCTATTTATTCATATTGTTAATTATTATTATTATTATTATTATTATTATTATTATTATTATTATTATTATTATTATTATTTTGTTCTTGCATTTGGTGGTTTGTCTGGCGATTTGTTTAAACTCGTAATTTTTATCTGGTTAAACTCACATTTTTAATATCATTTTTCTAACAATTTTTATGATGTTTTTCCACAAGTCTCTAATGATTGATTAAACTTGATGTATGATTTTGTTTGGGGGGGTGGAATTCAACACTTTGTTTTTCATACGAAGTTGTTTTGTGGTCATACACATGAATACAAGCTCAAAAACTTTAGAAGCTTTTACATATGAACTAAACCCACTAGTTGTTTGTTTATGTGCCTAATATAATACTTTTATTGTTGTAGATGTGAATTCACAATTGCCTTGAACTATATACTCGTAAATCTAACTTCTTCACTATTTAAAGACACCGGAAGTACTCCAGCGTCAGTGGTTTACGTAGGTTAGCTTGGGATTGTTCTTTGCTGCGTTTTCTTGCATTTTTTACTGCGTCCCCGCATTTTCACTGTGTTGTCCCTATGTTTTTCGCTTTGTGTTCTATATTATTTAAGTCTTTGATTTTGATAAACCTCTTTACCAGTTGATATTAAAGGATACTAAAAAAAGACTGCATGTTTCATACTATGTCCAGGTTAAACTAGAATGGATAGCTAAATTGAACTGCAAAAAATGTATGCCTATTACTCTAAATGATCTTCAAAAATAGATAAAAATACATTTTCTAAACAAATTGTGTGCAAAAAAAGTCTTCCAAACCAGGCTGCATCATTTGGCAATCAAAAGCACATATATAAAACATTATAATGGATTTATAAATGAAATGGTATTATATAAATTGTTAACATGCTTTGACTGCGATTTTTGCTGCCGTTTTCTTCCATTTTTGGCTGCATTTTCCTGCATTTTCGTTGCATTTTCCCAGCATTTTTTACTGCTTGTTTTATACTCCCCGGTCCGAAAAGGTTGGCCAAATTTCCTTTTTTAGATGTCTCAAAAAGATTTGCCATTTTCATTTAAAGTAAGGAATATGTGGCTAAAATTAATTCTCTCTCCTTTGCACAAATTCCAATCACAGTTTTTACTTTATTAATCTACGTGAAAGTCAATTTTGGCCAACCTTTTCGGGGTGGAGGGAGTATTACTTAAGCCTTTGATTGTGCTTAACATCTCCACATGTTCATATTTCAGGAAGATAAAACCACACCACATGTGTTTGTGTTGCGCTTCCATGCACTTTTTCTTGCGTTTTTACTTCATGATTTTTATTAAATAAGAATCGGGTTTGTTACTAAATGGTCTCGAACAATTCAATAATTGTTCAGTTCAATTTCACATGTTTTTTCTGCGTTTTTTGATGCACTTCTTATGCTATTGACACATCAATTGTGATTAAATAGTCTCCACAAGTTCATATGAAAGAAAATAAAAAACACTTTGTGTGCAGTTTTTTAGCAATCACAATTCAGTTTTTCAGTTTTCTAAATGATAGATTTTCATTAAGGCTTAAATTGGTCAGTGTTGTTTTCAATAACATGTTTTCAACTCCTAAGATCTATTATTATTATAATATAATAGCAAAAGGAAACTTGCAAAGCAAGTTCCCGCCAAAAGCTACAAGGTGTATGGAGATGTTGTGTAGCTGCAACTCAAGAATCCTGCCTAGAAAGTTCCTAAGAAATACTCCGTATCCCGTTATTGAATACCGTTGATCGAGATGAAATGATGGCCGGATCTATTAAATAAGCAAAACAATAACAGGTTGTTGCTTTAAAAGTCGGACCAATACAGCTCATATTTAATACTCTGATCCGTAGTAACTTTGGGAAGAAATCAAAGTGGAACGTTGAGTTTCCCAATATATACTCATATGCATGGGTACTTTATTTCTAAGCATTCAAACGCCTGTATATAAGAGCAAGAATTGTTGAGCAGTTGTTCTTCTCACCAATAACCATTTAAAATAATAACCCATTAAAATTGTCTGCATGCATGATTAAAGATATCGGTCAAAGCAAGTCAACATGGGAAATAAAGGATAGCGGAGATTCATATCCAGGTTATATGGATTCAATCTTCATGACTCAGGCTATCACGTTCTTTATAAAAGGCTAACTATTGTTTACATCAAACTTTCTATTTTGTTGGTAAGTTTTTAATCTGATTTATCTTTGAAATATTTCGATCTATTTCTAAAGTTTTGAAAAAATCAATATATATACAAGCTTGATTCCGCGGCTCCCACTTTTTAAAATTGTATATTATAGAAAAAGGCATTAAAGCGATGAGATTGACATATGAATTAAGATTTGCCGGTAAATCATATTCATCTGGATAAACGCTGAAGTGAGTGATTTGTTTGGGTTGCCTAAGCTGTGTAGTGCGTACCAGAAAAAGTAGAATGTGTTTTTAAATGGACTCTGATTGGTTATTTCAATTAAATGAATTATTGCATGTTTGTCACTTTTTAAACAAATACTCCCTCCGTCCTGCTAGAAGGTTCCCGTTGACGGTTTACGATGCTTGACTGACAATAAAACAATTTAATCCCTGTTCACACTCTGATTATTTTTAGTTAATAAAATTAACATATTCAGAAACTACATTAAAACCGCTACAAAGCCTGATAAAAAATGTAAATTTAATAAAAAATTGATTTAGAAAGTAAAAGATTAAAAATGATTTAAGCTGATCATGTGAATAGTGGACGAGAAGGGGCGGAGGTAGTATGAAGTAGTCAATTTCCAAAGAGATGAAGTCGATGAACGCAATTTGTTTAGTAATTCAAAGAGGAGTAGCTTCTTTAAGAGAGCATCTTATTTAAAATAAAATCTTTTAGTTTGTTTTTTTGCTTTTTGACAAGACAAATTTTAATAGGAAATCATGAATACAGATAAAAATATAATGATTCCACCTAAAAAGCATCACAATAACTTTGAAATTAACAATTGCAACAAAATATTGTGAAACTCTCAAAATCGATTTAATAAAATTGTTGGAACAAGATACAACTAGATTTTTTTAAGGAATGAAATTTCAAAATAACACTAAAATGCCGTGAATAGAAAGATAAGAAAAAATGGAGATGCTTGGAAAATGAACTGATTTCATTGCAGAAGTCCTCAAAAACACCTCCTCACCAGAAAAAAGTCATAAAATAAAAAATCAAAAAAATATGAAAAACTCACAATAATTATCGCATGTGTTAAAACAATATTTCTTCCTAATAGATCGATTCAATGCAGGTATTAAATTGATAATAGTGTGGCGTGAGAAGAAGAAATTGTCTGAGGGGAGATGAAGTGGTTTAATTGAGAAACCCTCATATTAAGTCTCTTAACTTAAATTGTAGTTTTGATTAAAAGAACATTTGTACTACACATTATTTTTAACCGGTCATAATTATACGGAGTACTACGTGTTATTTACATAGACTTCTTTTAGTTCTACTTTAATATTTAAAGCATACAATTGTGATACTCATAAATGGAGACAAGTTGAATGAGTTACAAGATTGCAAAATGTAGTTTTTTTAATGGATATTTGAAATGTTAAATAAACATAATTATGTATACATATAGCCATTTGTATTTATTTTTAAAGATGTTTTCCAATTTTTAAATGCATTGTTCGCTCTGTATTCAAATTTTTAAAAAACTAATTCAAGCTTATGCTAACTGTACTAATTATAATTATCCATATTAATTTTTTTTATGTTTAACATTTGGATAAGATATTCATCCATGCATCGCACGGGTGAAATACTAATATATTCAAACAACAAAACTATAGTGCCTTTTGTAGAGTTTAAGTGAGGAAATAAAATAGCCAAACTAAAATAAAAAAAGTATGTAACAAAATGTTATACCGTAGTATGAAAAATGCCTTTGAGAGCAGACCTCGTCATTTGATAATAAAAAAACAAAAACATTAAATATACTTATTCATTTAGGTATGTTTTATCCCCTTCGTGAAGTTAAGTGAAGGAATAAAATAGCTAGCTAATATGAACAAGAAAAGGTATATAACTGGATTTTATATAGTATAGTAATAAAATAATAAATGTCAATATATAATGTTAGTCCACTTATCATTTGGGGCTACTCTGTCATCCCTCTGTCTCTAAGCATCACCACAAAAGCTTTATCTTCTCTCCTAGTTGCAATGGTGTTTTGGGGTGTTGAAGTGAAACAAGGGCAGTCCCTAAAAATTAACGCTGAAGAAGTGATCCATATTTCCCAGGCATTTTTGGGTGAGGTAAGGGATGACAATGGAGGCATGGAGCCAAGAATGTTTTACTCCATATGAAGGTGGGAAAGGAGAATTTTGTCACAGGAACTCTCTCAGCTAGAAAACGATCACAAATAATGTGTGACTTGTATCTTGACAAAGAGTTTGAACTCTCTCATGACTTGAAAAGTGGAAGTGTCTACTTTTTTGGATATTCTAAACTACAATTTGAAGAAGAAATTGATTCTAATGATACCTTTGAGTCTGAACTCTGAAGAAGATTTACCTATAAATGCCCTGGAAAATGATAAACCTGAAGCTAAGGCTGCTAATGGGTTGAAGGAGGAGAAAAGGAAAGTTGCCACACAACAAGTGCTTTCTAAGAAACCAGCATTGAAACCATCAAAACCAGCTGTAGAAGACCATAAATGTATCAATGTTTCACTGTTGCGGCAACAGGTGCTATTGTTTAGTGTACTCTATATAAGAGGTACATGCATTATTCTGTCCGTTAACACATGCGTAGTGCTATCTATATCTATGATAAATAATTGTTCTTCAAGAATATTTTTCAGTTGTACTTAATTGGCAGCAAATTTGTGTGTGGTGACTATAAACTTAATCGGTATATTTTCTCAACCTTACATATTAGAACAATGATCCACATTACGGAGATGTCCAAACAAAATACAGAGAACTTGTTGATTACATAATTACATTCATAAGCGCATTAGCTTTTTCATTAAAATAATGTGAGTCTTGAATCCATGATACGGTTCACTTAAACATACTACTAAAAAAATCAACAAAGAGCAGTGGCTACATTGCCTAATATTTTTCTTTTAATAAGCTCTTCTCTCATCTTCCTAATCTCTACATCCATCTCCATTTTCTTCATCTCATCTTGACGGAAAACGATCCACGCATGAAATTTGTACATGGACTGCCAACATAGTGGAATACACAGTGACATAGCAAAAATTGTTGCCATTTTTCTGTCTCACTTCTCTGATCTATGGATTATATAAAACTACTTATAATATACACAAACATATAAATAATAATCCGTAGTAGACAAAATTTCATTTTGGATATCAGAAATGCAAGTATCATTGCAATCAACAATATTAAACTCAAGTATTTTGCTTTCAATTGAAGTTTTAAAACCAATTTTGAGAGACCTGAAGTTGAGAGACCCTGAATCTGATTGGAAAATTCCAGACTTATAGTAACTCCTTGCTGGATCTTTCAACCTTTCCGAGTGTTACTGAAACGGTTTATGAGAGGAATCAAGGAAATGACAGCTTATAACCATTCCAGACTTCCACTAATCCCTTGCTAGAGTGTAAGGTTGGCTGGTGTAGCCAAAACTATAATTCGGCCGTCGCTGGAGATACAAACCAGTCACGGCCGCCACAGTCGAATTTAGTGATAGTCGGACACACATCGGCACCCAATGATGACAACATTGTTGCTTTCTAATATCCTTGGTTGATTGTTGTATCGATCTCAGGTGTCACGTTCACCCTTTGCTGAAGGAAAACCACGAAAAAGGAAAACCAGAACCCAACTTTGAAAATGCCCTTTGCTGAAGTTTCTGGTCCGCTTCCGTTCGATCGACACTCACTGCAGCCTGCAGGTCTCTCGCAATCACTAATATACGAAGTATATAAGAAAGAAATATTTATTGAAAGGATTTCTATGGCTTATAATTTTTGAATTGCTTCAAAAAACAAAACTTATGAGAAAAGCCAAGGCATGAATATATTTTTTGTGACATCTTCTTGCGATACCTTGACAAATGGATCACTCTTCAACAACTCAGCTTCTCAAATCGGATTCTGAGGCTTTGAATCTTCAGAGCTAATTTCCTGAAAGTTTCAAGTCATAGAAATATGAGAAAGTTTTTAAGCGAGAATCTGCGAATCTACTTTTCGGGTATTGTATTCTTACGGCGGAGTTCAGATAGCTAAACCCTTCGGTTGTTGCTCTGAAGATTTGGATGTAATAATTTGGAAGCTTGCTGTGTTTTTCATGGAGTATTTCTTTACCTTCTCACATATGGAGGAGCAATGGATACCCAAAATAAGGAGCATGTGAAGAGGCAATTGATTTGACAATTCAATCGTATTAAAGTTGTAGAATTGACTCTCCCTGACACCTTTCTTCTCGCCCAAGGTGCAATGATAACATGCTACCCAATTTATTTCAACATACCAGAAAAGCAGATTATCCGGACAATAACACTAGATACGGATCCGACCCATTTCTTACCCGTAACTTTGGGCGGGAAAATGGAATGTTTTTCCACTTAGGTTTGTATATAGTAAGATTTTTAACATTTTCTTTTCAAAGTGTCTTACTATTTTTCAAATATATATACTAGGGCTCCCAAACTCCTCTATTGTCTCTTTATTTAAGTATATAATTTCACACCAATAATATTCATACCTCAATTACTTGATCATTGTTCATAGTGTTTTATTGTAACACCAACTAATTCATAAAAAATGAACAATATACTAATTTTGAAAACATTTTACAAAATTCATAAAAATGAGTGTTGTGCATGTAACATTCACGCAACACGCGATCAATTTACTATTATGTCTAATCAGATCAGGACAACCACTTAGCTTGAACAATTATAAAAATGGGTATAGTCAAGTTTGCAATCTATCAACACACAACTCTGTCAAGTCCCATGCCAAGTTGCGTACCAGTGGAAGGAAAGAGCAAGGAAGTACAAAGACTAACAGAATATAAGAAATAAAAGAAAAAGGAAAAACAGTAACATTATTGACGGGGTGGAGGATCAAAGGAAGAGAGGAAGTGATTACAATGCTACAACACATATTCATTATCTCTATATCTTTAAGCGCAATATACAAATTATATGACTACACATATAATATGTTGGAGGAAATTGACCGGATAAACCTGAAAAACAGCGTTAGAAAAATAATATAGCTCGAGTCGCGTAAACGCTGTCTTCAAGAAAGTATTTCCGACTAGCGAAAACCTTTCCCCAAGATAAAACGAGCTCTTCGGCATAAGCCGGTAATAGAACAACGAGAGTCGAATAATATAATTAATCCAGCAATATGTGATTGAAACAAAATTTTGTAAGTAAAACTTTGTTATGTATGAACATATCTGAGTAAATCATAGGGAGCTTCTTCTTCCTCCTCTTCGTACTATCCATGTAGTACATATATACTCCCAACTCCTCAAAATAAAGGAACCGTTCAAAACTTTGGCAGCATTAATATGGTAATAAATAGAATTAATACAATAACATTAATAAAAAAGATTCTTAACCGATGGACATAAGAAGAACCGTTGTTGCTTCCAGGAGGAAATGAATTTGTTCATTAACCATATTAATTAATAGTCAACAAATTATCCCAAGTGTTGTAACGTTCAAACATAATTATTATAATTATAATTTTATTATGTATAAGAGATGTATAAGATTTATTATTAAATTAGTGTGTGAAAAATAATTAAAGGAAATAACATTTTATTCATTTGAAATACTCTCAATTTTTTCAACAATCCCCCACATATTTCAAATGAATAATTTTATATTTTTTAAATAGTTTATAAAATTTCTGCTGGATTAAAGGAATGAGACTTTAAGTTTGGTGTCCGTAGACTATGAACCAAACCGAGACGATTAAGTCTTAATAAACCGAGCTTTTGGTGAAACATATACTTTATATGAACCAACAAGCTACTATTGGTAAATCAGGGTCTTAACGGTCATCTCTCACCCTGCACAATTTCTCGTTATTACGCCTGTTGAGGGTAAATCCCGTAGATCCGAAAGCCCAACACGAACTTTGGATGTATCAGGAATGACACAGAATCAAGGTGTGTAACAAATATAAGATCTGAACTAACTAACACTCGAAAGCTCACTTGTATTAATTAACCAATCTGATTACAAGGAATTTACCGATCGGTAGGTCGGAAACTATGCTTTAATACAAGAAATAAGAGCAATGATGCTATTCTAGAGCCTGAGTATTGAAATGATAACCCTTACAATGACTTGAAACCTTCTATTTACACTAATGGGGAGCATGGGCTGCCTCATGCTGATTGGCCGTTGTTCCACCGACTTGGTCATCCATGCTTCCACTTGCTGATGTCACAGTCTGGCATTAATTGCACCTGGCCACTTGCTGGTTGGCCGTTGCTCGAACGGGATGTTGGGTTGTACTGAAGATGTTGTCAAATTGGCCCAAGTACGATATATAGCCCGAACCTCGTTCGGTATGTCTTCTTACTGGGCCAACCTTTATTTGGGCCGAACCTCGTTCGGCATGAATTCTTTACTGGATCTATTCATCATAGAATGATGGGCCCGTTGCTTGGGCCGGGTATCTTGGGCCTTCTCGATCTGGGTATTGGGCCTCTAGGTCAATATCCCAACACAAGTCCCCCACTTCCGATGTCTCGAACGAAGTGAGTGCATTAGGAAGTATATCAATGTTATAATACCCCGAATGGCGATCGGGGTACAGAAGTAATCAGTTCCCCATGCTGAGATTCGACGGCTGCCGCTTTATTTCCCCATATTCATCATGATAACCGTCGTTTAGTCTTTTCATTAGACACGTGTTTAGCTTAAATGTTCCTAGTGACGTGTCGCTCTCTGATTGGTTCTTGGCACGGTGGTTTCAAGGCTATAAATTAGCCTTTAACTTCTCAATTCCGGGTTTCGATTCTGCAATTCTCTGCGCCTTGTTGATTTCCCTGCAATTCTCTCCCAGCTTCCATCGCTCAGGTAACTTCTCAAATCCGGATTCCTTATCTTCCTTTCTGGCTCGACCGAGATGAGCCCCAAACAGCATTCCTCTGATTCGGAGATGGCCTCCCATGGAGATGACCGTGACGCCGCCATTGTGGACGTCATTACAGTCCCGTTTGCCGGTGGTTCTACTGAAACGGCGACGAATGCCGGTGCTGAGGCGGAGGACCTTCCTAGCACTTCCTCTTCCTCCAGTGAAGATTCCGACGACACCAAATCCGAGGACGAAATAGCCTCCATGGCGGTTGTGTTAGAAAATTGATGTAACGTACCTCTAAAGTACAGCAACAGAAGTTTAAAATTTTCCAAAACAGATCTTCCCTGATTATGACAAAACAACGAATAAAACAATAATAACAGATCTGAGTCAGAACTTACAGATCTTCCAGCCTAGCGGTGATAATCCTTGACCTTTGGTATCCACGTGATTTCTCCTTTCCGAAAGAACAGTTAGATCTCCCTAAGAGAAAGGCTAGAAATCTCTTCGCAGGGAAATAATCTGGTAATACTGAATCTGAAAACTGGTCTATGAATTATGAAGAAGAATGGTGTATTTATACTAGTTCTAAACTAGTTTTTCAATCACATTGAAAGTCTTCCTAATTAATGAGTTCTAGTCCTAATAGGACCAATACTCCTTATTAATTAAATAAGTAGATTAAACAAAATAATATAATAATAACAATAACATTAGACAGGTGGCTGCACGCCACTCTCTACTTGTTATAAGTATTATTATTTATTTCATTTTCTTTTCTTTTAATTCCAAATCATAAAAGAAAATACCAACTTTATTTAATAATAAATACACCTTAATTAGGTATAATAAATCTAATTTATCATACTTAATTAATTCTATCGGATAGAACTCTCCTTCGACTTCATGAATTAAATATGTTTAATCTAATTAATATTTAATTTATTCTCAGTATTACTAATTAAATATTATTTAATCTAATTAATAATATTTAATTCCTTCTAACAGTTCAATCGGAAGGTATAATCACTTGTTGTGTGACCCATAGGGCCTTATATATTGAGCACTAATCAAATTAAGGTCTTAGTAGAATCCCTAGACGATTTACCAGACAAACTTAATATATAAGGACGTTTGCGAGGACTTATTCAAACTCCCTGTAATATAGAGCTCATAGTGATACGGTCCTTTCATTCAACGAACATTCAACTAAGTCTTTAACATGATATTGTGTCTATCCCAATAACTCAGTCTCTGTCTCTCAATCTTTCTAGATGATCTATAACGATCATATTCGATATCCAAAACGAATATATCTTTGCATTGGCCAATGACTTTATGATCCATCTAGATATGAGAAGTAGAATGTTCTCTCTTAATCTATTATGAGGAATGAATCCTTTCTTGGCTCAACTACTACTCCATGTGCTTCGTGATGCACCCAACACATGCCGTATCTACCCCGATTGGAGTGCGGCGTTGGTCATGGTCAAAGTACATCACTCCGCACATGTAGTACGTATTGACCTCAAGTCGGAGGACTATTACACTACTCTATACGCCGATAATCCCATAGACACATGAATAGAACTTATCAAATGGTTTCTCGGTGGGTATGCCAATATTCTCTAAAATATCTATGTGACCATCATGAATTACAGGAACTCATAGTCGTGAGATCAACTATACTTTCTAAAAGTATGATGCAGTCCACATACCAATCTTATCGCATATCATCAATATCCCATTCTTGATGATCATTGATTGGGGCCTTTTTAGGATCTTATGTTTTATCATATAAGCTCCCACTTACTTATTGACAACATAAGTCCAAGAGAACACAATTATGAATAAGACATTGACAATCGAAATGCTTAATCATCAATGTGTAATACCGTATATATCAAATATATAAAACTGAATGTGATCAAGTACATATATCTCTAAAAAGTGATTGTCGCTAGGACATATATACTAACAATCTCCCACTTGGCCTAGTGCCAATCACCGATGCGTCTAACACCTAGACTCTCAAAAGTTTAGTGTGTTTCTCGAATCTTAAAGGTTTGGTGAAAGGGCCAGCCAAATTGTCCTCTACGGGAAGGCATTCTATTGCAACTTCTCATCTTGCTATTTGTTATAAAAACATGATAGCATACTGGTAATTTTTAGTTCCTTACTTTGCATCTTAGTTCCTTAGCTTGTGAAAATGCACCGGTACAGTCACAATAACAATTATTGGATAACTGTCGCTAGGAACTACCCTTATTTCTTTAAGGAACTAACGTATCTAAACGCTTACCTATGTTGCATCAAATGCAACAATTTACTAGGCTCTAGTTGTCGAATTTACTAGCATTACTATTACATTGAGACTAAAAATATATACTGACTGTGACTCGTAGTGTTTCTTATCATACATGAAACTAGTGCTAGAATAGTTAAATTCTACTAGTTCTTTCTGTCTACCATAGACAAAAGATATTCATGAAGATTTTGGATGACCATTCTTTCGCGGACTTCAATGAGGGGATATCATTCTCTATGATCAACATATATGATTATAAAGACCATGCTATCCTTGTTGCGCACTCTAAACACGCAAGCACCCTCATTTCATTTGATGAGGTCAAACGGTTTGACTTTTTCATCAAAATTAATATTTCAACTCCTAGATGCTTGTTCTAGCCCATAAATAGATTTCTCTAATTAACATATTGAATTAGAATTTGATGTGGATATAAAACCTTCAGTTTGTACCTTGTACACCTCCTCCTTGAGGTTTCCATTAAGGAAAGGGGTTTTGACATCCATTTGTCAAATCTCATAATCATATTGAGGAGTTATAACAAGCAAAATCCAAATGGACTCGAGTTTTGCAACTGGCGAATAGGTATCACTATAGTCAATTCCTTTTCTTTGACTATAACCTTTAGCCACTAGCCTAGCTTTGTATGTTTTCACCTTGCCTTCAGCATTAATTTTCTCCCTGAAAATCATTTTGCATCCAATGGGTCTAACCCAACAGGCAAGTCAACCAAGTTCCATACTTGATTGATACACATCGAGTCCATTTTAGATTTTATGGCTTCTTGCCACCTCTATGAATCAACATCTAATATTGCTTCTATGTAGGTTTCAGGTTCATCCGTATCAGGAATCTTAACATCATCATGATCCTCCATGAGGAAGCCTAACCACTTCTGCAGAGTTGAATGTTTTGCGTTTTGTTCAGGCTGTTCATTTTGATCGTGAAGAGGTTCTCTTTCATTGGACTATCCAATGCTTAGAGAGTTTTCTGGTGCTATACTCAGAGAGGGAGAGTTAGGTGCAGAAGGAAAGACAATCATGCCATTACTTTCTTCATAAGAATCACTTGCTGGTGCGAAGCGCTTCCTATATTACTCCCACTAGCTGAAGGATATCCTCCTAGAGACATTCTTCAACTTAATTCTCCCACTGAATCCTTCGTTAGACAATCTAACAAATCTTAATTCTCTATGTTACTTTAGCTTTCAATTTGATTAGTGCACATTTCTGTACATATGTAGGGCAACCCATATTTAATATGTGAAGAAAATGTCTTTTATTATACTATAACTCATATAGTACGTTTTGCACTGATCAAACTATTCAGAATGCATATTGAGATTTATAGCGTGTATCCTCAAAAGAATGTTTGGAAGAGAAAATGAATTCATCATAGATCTAGCCATGTCTAACAGAGCCCTATTTCTCCTTGCAGAAACGCCAGACTTCTAAGGTGTTCTAGAAGAGTTCATTATGATCGAATTCTTTGACATTTTAAATAAATCAGAAATTTTACTTAAGTACTCTTTGGCTTGTTGTCATTTTTCCTAGAAAAGGTTTATTAGTCAAGTTACTTGAAAGACAAGATTCACAATTTCCATATGACTCAAAAGCAAATGGTGTTAAATAATCTAATTTATTTAACGTTGCTATTCTTGTTTCATTAATTTGACCAAGTTTGCAATGTCATAGATAGGTAGTAATTTTTCTGATTACTTAATCGAGATCCTTTTATTTTATTCATTTAATATCTAATATGTCGATTGATAATTAACCATTCATAAGAAAACCATTTCCACAACAACACCATTTTACGAAAATAACAATTATTATTATCAAAATGGAAACAGAAATCTTTTAATGTCTAACATTTGAATGGAAATAATCTTCTTGGTAATAGAAGGAATAAAATAACAATTATTTAATTCTAATCTAAAACCACTAGGCAAATCTAAACTATAAGATCCTATCACGTTCAGCAGCAACTTTTGCTCCAGCCTTCACGCGTAGGTCAATTTTACCCAGTCCAACTGCTACACTGCTTCTCAGGCTTCTGCACATTTTTACAAATGTGTAAGCCATAAGTTGTATCTAATACTTTAACAATGAGAGTTAGTTATAGACATATTTATTTAATGATAAACATACCTGAGCTTGAAGCACCCGGTGCTTTGGCTAGATTAGCCTTATACAGGTCACAATCTCTCTTCCAATGCCCCTTCTCTTTGCAGTAGAGGCAAACATCCTTTGCAACCTTTGGCTTCATATGACCTCCACCTTTAGGCTTCAGAGCTGTAGGAGTAGGTCCAACCTTACCTTTCTTCTTTTGCTTATTCTTGTTCTTAGAACGAGACTTAGCATTAGAGCTTACCATAAGAACAGTCTTTCCTTTAGAGGTTGAGGCTTCATAAGACTTGAGCATGTTATGGAGTTCAGGCATGGTCGCTTTTGTTTTGTTCAAATTATAATTCACAATGAAGTTAGTAAATGAACTCGGAAGCGAATATAGGATGATAGCAGCTGAGACACGATCCTCAAACTTAATTCTGGTGGTAGCAACTCTTTCAATTAAGCCAATCATTTTGAGGACGTGCTCAGACACGTTGCCACCCTCTTGAAGCCTACACTTGAAAATGTCTGTCAGAAGTTCATACTCTAGAGTCTGACTTTCTGAATCAAACAGACTTTTCAAGTGTTCAAGCATCTCGAAGGCACTCATCCTATCGTGTTGTCTTTGCAACTCCATAGACATTGCAGCCAACATAACACATTGCACAATTTTAGCATCAGTGACGTGTTTCTCTCGAGCAATCAGGTCAAACGTGGCAAACTCAGGAGAGTTGGCATCAGGAATCTTGGGTACCGGTGTGTCTAACACATACTCAATATTTTCTTGTCTAAGAACTAAACGCACATTTCTTTCCCAGTCCAGAAAGTTTGGTCCAGTGAGCTTGCATGTATCCAAAATACTTCTCAATGATAAATTCGACATTCCTAAAAGCCTAAAGAAGTTCAAATAGAACGGAATTAAAGTCATATATTAATTCCTACGATCACATCTAGTTAAATAAATAATATGGACTTTTAATTATTTAGCTCCCACTATTTTTACATGCTCTTTGACCCCAATAAAAGGAACATGGAATGTTTTACAATCATAGTGGCCAAAATCCTCATTCATACTATTACAGTCCCAGCTTGGGCTGATCACTGCAATAATATAATGGGTAGGTCCCCATACCAATTGCGTCCAAGCAACTTTTGGTTGATCAATTTTTTTTTTATAAATTGATCGACATCCCTAAATTAACACTGACGCTTGGGCGACTCGAGCTAATTTAGGTAAGTCAAAACCATCACACGATCACAAACATATGTATCTATAAATTAGTTCTAGATTTTGTCGAATGGAATAAACACTTGGGTGAAATATTCTTTAACGAAAAAATATTTCTACTAATTTAATTATGATGGGTGATGTCGTTATCCTAGATAAGACTTAAATTTTAATTATGGGGAACGTTTATCGGGTATTAAATCATTTAATCATATTATCAAATAATATGTTAATGAGATCTAACTCAAACATACATAAAATCAAAGCATGCATTATTATAAATCTAATTTATAAACAAGTATCATAGTATAACAACTAATTAGGCATGCTTCACATAATAGTAATGCAACCGAAAACAATAATGCTAAAAAGATTTCCGGATTAAAAAAAATTATACTACGAATAATCCCAGACGTAAACAAATTCTCCTTCCAGACCTCCAGGCATTCTAACTTTGTCCTCTTCGTATTCTTTCAAGAGTATCCCAATTGAACAAAGAAATCAGGGAGTATGACTTCAAAAATACAAGAAAGTCCCCAAGTTTTTTTTAATTTACAAAACAAACAAAACAGATCCAATCTTTAAGTCTACGAACAATTTACAGAATGATCTTCCTCTTAGTTGGATACTCTGTAAATTTGGCAAGCATAACCAAAATTTTGTTTAGTTTGATAAATCGAATTTTATTCAAAAGAAAACAAAAATTTATAGTCTAATTGGTGTTCCTTGTTCCTTCGTTCTTACTGGAATATTCGAACCACCATTAATGGCGGTCGAGTTTCCATGGAGAAAACTGAAAACCAAAACGATCGACGAAGCTTCTTTCTTCGGAAATTGTCACGTAATCGTCTCTCATCTGTCTGAATTTCTTCCTCAATTGATGGACAGTCGTAGCTCGTCCAGCGCAGATTGGTCAAAAAGAAATAAACAAAAGATGTAGAAGAGGTCGATGATTTCATCCTTGCGTATAGATGAAACGCAGATCTCCGATTTTGCTATGCGGCTCCTTTACTTTGAGAAATTCCAGATTTACCGATAATGACAAAAAAAAATCCAGGTTGTCGTGCCTTGCAAATCCGATCTCCATGAATCGCGATGAACACGGACCAATTTTAGCGCAAACGAAATATGGTGTATAAAGATGTACGGAGTAATATCTTTGTGAAGATTTCTAAAATCATATACCGGTATCAATCAATTTCAAAAATTAAATTCGAGTAAAAATTGCTCTCTGAAAAATTATACCGAGTATAATTTTATCTCACGAAAAAAAATCTACCAAAATTTGTATTATGTCATTAGAATCAGTTTGGCTCTGATACCACTGTTAGAAAATTGATGTAACGTACCTCGAAAGTACAGCAGCGGAAGTTTAAAATTTTCCAAAACAGATCTTCCCTGATTATGAAAAAACAACGAATAAAACAATAATAACATATCTGAGTCAGAACTTACAGATCTTCAAGCCTAGCGGTGATAATCCTTGACCTTTGGTATCCACGTGATTTCTCCTTTCCGAAAGAACGGTTAGATCTCCCTAAGAGAAAGGCTAGGAAATCTCTTCGCAGGGAAATAATCTGGTAATACTGAATCTGAAAACTGGTCTATGAATTATGAAGGAGAATGGTGTATTTATACTAGTTCTAAACTAGTTTTTCAATCACATTGAAAGTCTTCCTAATTAGTGAGTTCTAGTCCTAATAGGACCAATACTCCTTATTAATTAAATAAGTAGATTAAACAAAATAATATAATAATAACAATAACATTAGAGAGGTGGCTGCACGCCACTCTCTACTTGTTATAAGTATTATTATTTATTTCATTTTCTTTTCTTTTAATTCCAAATCATAAAAGAAAATACCAACTTTATTTAATAATAAATACACCTTAATTAGGTATAATAAATCTAATTTATCATACTTAATTAATTCTATCAGATAGAACTCTCCTTCAACTTCATGAATTAAATATGTTTAATCTAATTAATATTTAATTCATTCTCAGTATTACTAATTAAATATTATTTAATCTAATTAATAATATTTAATTCCTTCTAACAGTTCAATCGGAAGGTATAATCACTTGTTGTGTGACCCATAGGGCCTTATATATTGAGCACTAATCAAATTAAGGTCTTAGTAGAATCCCTAGACGATTTACCAGATAAACTTAATATATAAGGACGTTTGCGAGGACTTATTCAAACTCCCTGTAATATAGAGCTCATAGTGATACGGTCCTTTCATTCAACGAACATTCAACTAAGTCTAGAACATGATATTGTGTCTATCCCAATAACTCAGTCTCTGTCTCTCAATCTTTCTAGATGATCCATAACGATCATATTCGATATCCAAAACGAATATATCTTTGCATTGGCCAATGACTTTATGATCCATCTAGATATGAGAAGTAGAATGTTCTCTCTTAATCTATTATGAGGAATGAATCCTTTCTTGGCTCAACTACTACTCCATGTGCTTCGTGATGCACCCAACACATGCCGTATCTACCCCGATTGGAGTGCGGCGTTAGTCATGGTCAAAGTACATCACTCCGCACATGTAGTACGTATTGACCTCAAGTCGGAGGACTATTACACTACTCTATACGCCGATAATCCCATAGACACATGAATAGAACTTATCAAATGGTTTCTCAGTGGGTATGCCAATATTCTCTAAAATATCTATGTGACCATCATGAATTACAGGAACTCATAGTCGTGAGATCAACTATACTTTCTAAAAGTATGATGCAGTCCACATACCAATCTTATCGCATATCATCAATATCCCATTCTTGATGATCATTGATTGGGGCCTTTTTAGGACCTTATGTTTTATCATATAAGCTCCCACTTACTTATTGACAACATAAGTCCAAGGGAACACAATTATGAATAAGACATTGACAATCGAAATGCTTAATCATCAATGTGTAATACCGTATATATCAAATATATAAAACTGAATGTGATCAAGTACATATATCTCTAAAAAGTGATTGTCGCTAGGACATATATACTAACAGGCTGGACGTCCCAACGATTTTCCTCGCCATACCCTTGACCTAAAATTGATTAGGGAGAGGCGGCAAAAGCTGACCTCCCATAATAGGGCCGAAATTCCGGCCCTTATCCCTGACCCGGTGGATTTCCGTTTGCAAGCTGGGCTTCACCCAATGCGTCATAGGCCCGGAATGACAATAGTTCATTTTGATTCAATTAGGGCCGGTCTTAGGTTTCCGCTACATCCCTTTTACATTTCTTTCTTCAATTTCTACGAAGTTGTACCGGCCCAAATTATGCCGAACTCCTATCGGGCAATGGCGGGTTTTATTTGCCGTTGTAAAGATGCCGGCGCCCGACCAACCCTAGAACTCTTCCACCAATTCTTCAAGGTAGCCCCCCAACAAACCCACGGCTATCTGGCCACTAGTGCCTGAACGGGACACATCCTTTTCAAGGGAAACCCAACTTCAATCAAAGGGTGGAAAGACCGGTTTTTCTTAGTGTCTGTCCCGGACGGTCTAATTCCCCGCAAATGGAATGCCTTCCCCCGCAAGACTCCTGATCCTGTCCTCACTGAAGAAATTTACAAGGACGTGCCTGCTGTGGAGAAGGATAAATGCATGGACATCATGAGTTATCTGACTCCTGAACGACTTATTACAGCCGGGATAGGTACTGCCCGTTCTCTTGGGTTTACTTGTTTTGAGAAACCAAGTGCCATGGTCCGGGCGGTCCTTCCCGTGCGAGAAACGTTCTTTTGTTCTTTTTTCTAGTTTCTCACACGCTAAGGCCGCTCGATACTAACATTGTCCTTTGTCTTTTTTCAGCACCAAACCCAGATCTACCTATGGATGATAGCAGAGTTATCGCAGCCGGTGGGGCCGGTAAACGGAAAAAATCCAGGAAGAACCCCCAACCTACTCCCTCCATTATTCCCGCTCAGGATGTTGCCTCTTCTCTACCGCCTCCAGAGCCACAGCCAATACAGCAGGTCCATCAGGACCAATTCGAGGCCATGCTGGTCGACGATCGGTTCGGCTCTGACCACTTGCATCAGTTCTCTCAGCATTTTGACTCCGTTCGGGGGGAACCCTCGAACGCAGGTGAGACCCACACCGACCATATTACTGGTCAGGTCGAGCGGATCTCCTTATCTGATCCTGTCCATGAGGTATTAGAAAGGGCTGGTTCTACCGCGAGCCAGATCTGGTCGACCTCCTCTTGGTTCAACAATTTTTCCCTTCCTCAATTGCCGGTCGAGCAATCTGAAGAATGTCTGGCTTTGACCGCTCTGAAGGTACATTATCTTTTGCGCTTTGTCTTTATTTTATTCTCTGTAATCATTACTAACTCTCGAACTGCGCTCTGTAGATGGGTTTGTACACCCTTCAAATGCGGGAAGCCCGTCTGGCCAAGGAGCGGGAACTGATTGTTGCCCAATCTTCTGTTGAGCAAAATGCTGCTGCAGCCATCACCTCTCTGGAGGCCGAACGGAAGGCCTTTGCGGAGGAGAAGCAGAGGCTGGATGCTGAGCTCGGTACCTTTCGGGTCCAACTTGCAGCTTCCCAGGCCAAGGTCCTTGCCGCTGAGGCCGCACAGGTCAAATTTGAAGAAATGCCATCCAGCATCCCGGACGGTCCCTATGAAGT